GCTCTTTCTTTTTCTGTGCTGAGTTCTTAGAAAAGCTTCACCAAGGAGATCAACTCGATTCAATTTCACAATATTTGTCGGTAATCAGCCCTGGCATTTACTCTTCCTATATATTAATATATTAACATCACACTTTTAAGAATGCTTCTAAGGATGATTTAATCACTCTTTTTGAAAAAATACTTGATATAAATTAGAGGGTGTAAGTGATTTTAGGTCGTGGTTTCTTTGGTTTCTGCAAAATTACAAACCAGATATAAGCATATTTTTCCCTGTGTGGCTTAATAAACTTTTTTTTTTTTTTTTTTTTTTGGAGATGGAGTGTCTCTCTGTCAGCAGGCTGGAGCATAGTAGCACGATCTTGGCTCACTGCAAACTCCGCTTCCTGGGTTCAAGTGATTCTGCTGCCTCAGCTTCCAGAGTAGCTGAGATTACAGGCATGTGCCACCACACCCAGCTAATTTTTTGCATTTTTAGTAGAGACGGGGTTTCACCATGCAGGCCAGGTTGGTCTCAGTCTCTTGATCTCATGATCCGCCCACCTTGGCCTCCCAAAGTGCTGGGATTACAGGCGTGAGCCACTGTGTACGGCCAATAAATTTTTAACATTATTTTTGATAAAGGTGTTATGGGAACTTGTCACCAGATAGTCTAGTCTTCACATTAAATTCATGGGATACTCCTCATCTCTATGTAGCTATCTCCCATATCCAGTAGTGATCTCCCTTCTCTCTCAGTCTTTGGCCTCTTACCTTCAACTTCCCACTAGCCATTTCTAACGCTTAAAAATCTTGTAATTGCCTTAAAACACCAAGTATCCAAAGCAGTCCTATGATATTCTCCTCCCCCTAACCAACTCAGATCCCAACATCCTGATTTCTTTCATGAGCACTATCTCTTATCCACACATGCTCAGTTATTTGTGATAGACATGTCTCTATCATCTCTCATATCCAGTCATCATCAAATCTTGTCAATACTTAGTGTTCCTAAGAAGGCATGGAGGGCAGCTGTATCCTAAGGAAAACCCACTTTTGCACCAAACCTCTAGTGACTTTCTGATCAATATGAGTTGAAAATTCTGTTTTAATCTGGCCCTACCTTGCCAATCTAATTTATGTCCTTTTATTCACCAGCTTTCTCAGAACATTGCCCTAAACATACTCAGAATTCATACTCATATCCAGAACATTTGCTCTGAACTTTTACCATACAAATTCACCATGGTTTCTCTCCCTTCCATACCCACCACAGTCTTATCTGTCATTTAGTTCTAATTTTAAGCCCCTCACTTCAATATCTGATTTTTCCCCTTCTTTACACAGTTTCATGTGTTTGTACTGCCTAATTCTTGAAGAACCGTGATTTGGATTGCTTTTGCATTAATCTCCATAGTGCTTTGCTCAGTGCTAGCAGGAACTAGTAGTTCCACAAATACTTGCTAATTATAAATTAAAGAGAATTAAACATACTGTTTTCTTTGCCTGGAGTTGGTTATAGCATGTTGGAAAAAGTATTATCTCTAACCTTCATCTTTGCTCCTGTGTTTATGAACTGTTTTATAGCCAAAGAATAAGTTAGTATATCATGGGCCTAATTACATAATTTGGAGGCCTCCTCTGCTGGGCAGTCTACAGATTTAAAATCCATGCCAGCTGCATTACAATGGTTTTGAACTGGCTTTTTCTTGAGAAAGAAGGGGAGCGGGCAAAATCCCTCAGGCTTTGAGGGTGGAAATGGTGTGAGTTCCATTATGCAAGAATAGAAGCCCATTTTTTCCCTCCTGCTGAAAATCTTGCCATGAGGCTATAGCCAAAGAATGTGTAAATATCAAAAGAAATTTAGAGAGGGATTTTCCCTAGGAAAATATTGCAAGCCTAAAAAACCCAGTGGGCCAAGGTCCAATTTAGTGGATTCCTCTGAACAATGCTGTCCTCTACTTAGATTATATGTAAAATCTCTTATGATGATGTTTTGAGTGAACTCCTGCACCTCTGGGTTAACAGGTACATGTAATAAGTTTAGGTATCTGGGCAAAAAAGGGCTTGGCAGAGGGGAATAGAGGGACTTTCTTTGTCTCACATCTGGCATATCATTATCTTGTAATGGTAGATTACATTAAAGTTCCAATGTAATCGTGTGTGTCAGCACTCTGACCTTCCTAGGGACATTTTATCTCAGCTAGAACCTAATAAAGAAGGATTCTGTCATCTAGAAGCTGCCATGTGGGGCTCTGCAAAGATAATGTGGGCAGCTTAGAATCCAATTGAATGTCACGTCTCATGGCCTGGCTCATGTGAAGGCACTAGAGAGAGTTCTCCAGAGGACTGAAGAGGGTGCTACTTTTTGAGTCATTCTCACTGAGCCAACATTAGTGGAAGAGAAAGGAAAGCATTAGATTCTAATAAAGCATTTAGCTTCTGCTGAATCCATCCACATTTCTTTATCCTCATCCTGGCCCCTGGACCTCATTAGAGTCAGGTTCCTATGCAGTGTTCCAAGCAGCAGTGAACTGCACTCACCCCCTATTTGGGAGCGTCACAATTTTAAATACTCTTTTCTGCTGTAGGAGTGTGCAGATTTCTGGTTAATTTTGCGTTGAGGATTCTTGTTTGTTTTTTGTTTTGTTTTGTAAGATAGAGCACATTCTACAGACATATGTTCAGCCTATAAAGGAATTGTGATAATTACAGTTCTTTAATTACAAAATACAAAAATTAGCTAGGCATGGTGGTGCACACATATAGTCCCAGCTACTTGGGAGGCTGAGGCAGGAGAATTGCTTAAACCTAGGAGGCAGAAGTTGAAGTAAGCCAGGATTATGCCACTGCCCTCCAGGCTGGGCAACAGAGTGAGACAAAAAAAAAAAAAAAAGAATCAAATTTAAAGCAAATATTTAGTCACCAACAGGATGGCATTTTTAGCCTATAACTTTTTTTAGCCTTTTAACATACTTCTGCTGGAGGTTTCCAACTTTGATTACATAACCTGTTTACCTAGGAGCAAAGGACATTGGGAGGGTGAGATGCTCAGTGGTTCTCATTTGCAAAGCAGACAAGGATGATGCAAGACCATCAGCTCAAGGCTTTCCAGGTTAGAAATTAAAAACATGGATGTTGTAAAAACCACAACTCACATTTATTTGAAATCTCACCGTTGACAAAAGTATGTTCATCTGCATGTTTACACTAAATCCTATGAATGACTCCATGAGGCAGTGTATGGAGGAGGATTCCTCATGCATGTGAGTGTACACATGGGGATTCAGATGCAGGAAGATATTCAGTTTATATAGAGATATGTTTTTGTAAAGAATTTTTTAAGAAGATAAAATTATATGGAACAAACAAAAAGATAGGCCCTCTGCTGTCTAGAAATTAAAGTATAGAACATCAAGAATTTTATCCTTATGTAGAATTACACAGCCATTGCCAGAGGACCACATCTGTAGGCCCATGAAAACAAACATCTTTGCTCATTATTTCAGCCTGATTAGGGATACCATGAAGGGCTACTCCGTTAGGTCAGGATTGCAAGGTAACAAAAATGAAGCCAGTAGAGGTCCTGGTGGAGCTCCTGGTATAATGATAGGTGCCTGAATAAATAGTGTAAATGGTGTAGTAAAAACTGTAAATAGTGCAGTTAATAGTAAAAAGTGTAAATAGTGCAGTTTTAGGGAAATCTTGCAGTTAGCTCTAAAGTACTTGGCATTAGTTGTCAGACACAGCAACAGCTCTACAAAAGGCAATGAATGTGCTGAGTTCATTTTCAACCAGCCCAAACTTGCCTCAGAAGATCTGGGATGTGGACACTCTGGTATATTTTTTCTAGAAAAGCTTATTTCCTTCGTATGGTCACTGAGGTGTGTGCTGACAGATGTATTGATCAACTCTCTCCGTTAGACTCTGGGGCTCCAGGTGTGGCCACCCTGGGCTTCTAAATGGCTAGCAAAGCTACAAACGTATCTCTCTTAGTGTCTGAGGTGTTCACATTCGTGGATCTTTTAGATCCGTATTCCTTATGAAAATAAAAACTCTCGGCTGGGTGCGGTGGCTCACGCCTGTAATCCCAGCACTTTGGGAGGCCGAGGAGGGTGGATCACGAGCTCAAGAGATCGAGACCATCCTGGTCAACATGGTGAAACCCCGTCTCTACTAAAAATACAAAAAATTAGCTGGGTATGGTGGCGCGTGCCTGTAATCCCAGCTACTCAGGAGGCTGAGGCAGGAGAATTGCCTGAACCCAGGAGGCGGAGGTTGCGGTGAGCCAGAATCGCGCCATTGCGCTTCAGCCTGGGTGACAAGAGCGAAACTCCGTCTCAAAAAAAAAAAAAAAGAAAAAAAGAAAAAGAAAAAGAAAATAAAATGTCTCTACGACACACTGTGTACTTGTGGGTTTTTAGTTTTACTAGGGAGCTTTTTTGTTTTCTTTTGCTTCTCGCCTTCTTTCTGCTTCCCTTCTAGTTAAACCTTATGAGGATGGCTCATTGGCACCTTCTTTTGAGTATTAATTAAGCTCTTTTGTTCACTGGGAAACAGATTTATGAAATGTTACTATTACCGTGATTGTTTTGTTTTCCCTTTTATGGCCTGTCCAGCTCAAGGCCCCATGCATGGTGATGCTACTAATAAGGTTTTCTATTTCCAGATAAAATGGAAGTCAACCTCACTGGCCCTGTTATCGGTCCATGGTGGTCACTTGCTGTGAGGTGTTTCTATGGCTTTGAGCCAGAATGTGAACATTTCTAGTGTTCATGTTATTTCCTGAGACAAGCACTCACAGGAAGTAGAATTTATTACAACCTGCTGTTTGAGTTCACGAAAAGTAGGACAGTATGATGAGACTCAGGAGCAATGAAAGACTTACTAGAATTCCTTCTGGAACTGACTCATCAACTCTTTCATGACTTAGCCATTCTTTAAACTGTATTTTATGATAATGTTCTGCTTTTAATTGCTGGGCTTTACCTTACACTTTTTGTGATTGCAGGTCCTACAGGTATGGATCTCTGGCAGCTGCTGTTGACCTTGGCACTGGCAGGATCAAGTGATGCTTTTTCTGGACGTGAAAGTAAGTTCTCTTTTTCCATTTCCACCTTCAGTGTTTTGAAATAACACTGAACTGTATTTGTTACATCCGAGGTTTTTGGATAATTTAATTAAAAGTTGCAAGTTTTACGTAGCAGCAAATAACTTGACTTAGCTTTAAAATCAGAAACTAGTAGGACTTTTCTGTGGATGTTTAGGAGGAATGCAGTAGTCAGTCAGCTTTGGCATCTGATGTTTTCATATCAAAAATTAATGCTACAAATCATGCTGAGGACATTTATGTTGAAGACAAGCCAGGTCTCTTGTCTCAGTCTCTGGGAGAGATATTGAAATTACACTGAAGGGTTGTTAGCTTATTGTTCACTCAGCTCATCTGTGACTAAGGATATCGTGGTCTATTCCCAGAGCTCAGAATTCAGGCTTGTTAATTATATTCAGTGAGAGAGGAAATTGTAGGTTTCCAGTGAATTTCACCTCTCACTCTGGGTGATTACCTATTTGACTAAGTTGAGGAAAAAGACACCTGAAATAATTAAATGATATACCAGAAATAATGAACTTCCTTCCCCATCTCTATCATTCTCCCTCTTTTATACCCCTCTCCTGCTAGAGAAGTCTCAGTATGTTTAAACTATGTTTCATAGAAGACCTAAAGGAAGAGTAATGAAAGGGAAAGGGAAGAAGAATTTTTCTGTGAGAAAGAAAACTCTGCTCTCTAAAGGGTGGGAGACTTTTTTTTTAAATGAGTACTTAATATTTTTCCTTGCTTGGGCATCTATGGAAGAAAGAAACAATGTATTTCTCCCATGCTATGGCACTGAATTTAGTTGTTGTTTTAAGAGTGTCTGACTCCCTTTCTCACCATTCAGCTCATTTTGGAAAACACAGTTTAACAGCAGACTTAGGGCTTTAAGATGTCCTCCCTGACCTTTTAGCCAAAAATAAATCCGTAGTAGTGAGCTGCTGAGAGTGACCAGAGTCACTTAGAAAACGAGAAGAGTAAAATATGTTATTTTATCTCTTAAAGCAATTTAAAAATATTTATAGAAAAGAGTCATAATTGTTTAAAATATTTTTTGGTCTCTCTGGTGTTACAATGTCAACATTATGCAAGTCAAACATGGAGAGAATTGCAGGCTCCATTTCAACAGCTTTTCCCATGGCTGGTTTTAGACCCTGGTTCTGAGCCAAAGAATTGCAGCTGAGATCCTCTGCTGTTCCAAAGTCGTGGTGGCTTAATCTCTTGTTTCTTCATTAAGGTGACTTTCACTCCGCTGGGCAAGATTTGTGGAATTTTTAAAAACTTGTGAAATGAAAAGTATGGCACAGGAAATCTTTAAAGAAAATTAAAAATGCATCTTCAGCTGAGAGATTAGAGCTTAAATTACATTTTCGTACTAGAAAGTTTGCAAGGAGCAAAGGAGCATCTGTTTCAGCTGCTTCAACATTTCAGTAAACCTTTGACTTCCTAAATAGAGTGAAGAGAAAACATCGTTAGTTGCTATTAATATTTGCTTTTCATTTTTCTTTTTAATAATTTTGGTTGATTCATTTATTTGTTTAGGGGGAGTAGAATATAAGCAAATGCAATGGTTTGTACTAAACACAAATCACGTATCCTACCAGTACTTACACATAGGAAATAATTTAACAGAGAAGAACATTTTTTGTCTCCTTTTTTTTGTCTTGTTGAGCTAACCAGTATTTCTTTTTCCTTTGGAATATGTGCATATTCCAGAATCCTTTCTTAATATTGTCTGAGGATTAAGGTTGCGGTATGATGTTTATATAAAAAGGCATATATAAGCACGTTCGAGCATGTGTGTACATGTTCGCCTCTGTGTGTGTGTGTGTGTGTGTGTGTGTGTGTGTGTGTGTGTAATCTAGTTCTGGCCACTTATCTAATGAGGTCATGGGTTCAGCCAAAGTTAACGCATAACATGACACGTGTCAATCTCAGATGACTTTTATGGGCCATGTGTTTGTTTTTCTGCCAGGTCTGGATCGTAGCCAAATCACTTTGTTTTTATTGGTTCTCCTATTGTATAAGGCAGACTAAAAATATAGGTAAAATTTTTTTAAAAGAAAAGATAATACTATTGAGTTCAGTTTGGTCAGTGAAAGATGTGGCACTGATGGGTAAGCAATCTTGGAAGCATCGCCTAGAGAAAAGTCACCCAGGAGCTGGTAGAAGATGACAGATCTGTATGCATAGGAAAGGGTGCACTTGAGCAGGATTTTCTTGCTTGGGCAGATGAGCAATTAGAAATATACTGGCCCTGAGAGGACTTTTTTTTTTATTAAATCTAATTGCCCTGTGGGAAATTTAATGAGAACTAAATTTGAACAGTGCCATTATTGTGTTACCTAAAGTGTTGTAATAAATGTTTTCTTTCTGTCTCTCATCCTTGATATGAAGCTCTATATCTGCTCCTCAAAGCCAGTTACGTAGTCTTGAGGAGAATTTCTTATTCCAAAATCAGGAGTGATCCACAATGCCTTGTTTTCAAAGGGCTTCACATGGTTGACCTATCAACTGATTGTATCAAAATTGCTGCTGCTGGAGTGATGTTGCTAATGAGAAATATGCTTAAAGATCTGATGGATATAAGTATTCTTCCAGGGAGTGCCTGTTATAAATTACATTACGTATCTGTACTTGTACTATTTCAATCAATCCATCCTTGAATATATCCTTTGACCTCAGTAACCTAAGGTCGAAGTAGGCAATCCCCTGTCTTGTAGTTCAGTCTAACTGGGACGTGAGGAATGTCTAGAAACTAATGAGAAATTATATAGCTTTAAGGTCTGGATTGTGTGATGAAGAAAAATGGTCAAGAAGCCCTGAAAAAGAACAGATCAAGGTGAACTAGGATAGTTAATTCAACAAATTCAATGTACTGTTAATTCCTAAGAGCTTCCCATTTTCAAAGCCTATGCCTATGGCTATGAGGAATACATTGATTCTTCCCTCAAGGAATTTGTCATGGGTTAATCGATTAGGCATATACACCAATTACAATATTAGGCATTGTATATTAACTCTCAAAATGGCTTCAATCACACTTTATAGAAGTGGTGATGACAGGAGGGATATCTCAGCTGTGGTAAATTACAGCTTCATGAAGGAAGTTGGCATTGTTTCAGTAGGGACTAGAATGTTGCGTTTAAGATTTTAAAAGGCTGAGAAGAACAGAAGGCTATTACAGGAATAATTTATGTGATAAAGCAACAACATAAACAGAATTGTACAGGTATAGATATGAGATATCCATGGAGAACAATTCATTCACTTACTGTTTACAATACACACACACACACACACACACACACACACACACACACGGCTCTGTGCTAGGCAATGGATGGTTCTATTTTACGCATTTAACATTCAACAAATATTTCTTGAGCACTTACTTCGTGGAAGGCATAGCATTAATTTGGCCAGGGTGTGTGGTATGTAGGTGCTATATTTATAATTATTCACTTTGGGGGCAAACTTAGGTCAGTAGGTTTGAGATAAATTATAGAAGGCCTAGAGATAGCAAAGGCATTATGGCAAAGGCTGAGCTCTTGAAGAATGGCTAGCATTTGGAGAGGAAGAAAAGAAAGAGGAAGTGTATGCCATATCCAGCAAGTAGTAGTCCTCAGTGTTGGAGCCCAGACAAAAGTGCTACCTGCAGCTGGGCACGATGGCTCATACCTGTAATCTCAGCACTTTGGGAAGCCAAGGCAGGTGGATCACGAGGTCAGGAGATTGTGACCATACTTACCAATACGGTGAAACCCCGTCTCTACTAAAAATACAAAAATTGGCCGGGTGTGGTGGCACGCACCTGTAGTCCCAGCTACTCAGGAGGCTGAGGCAGGAGAATTGCTTGAACCTTGGAGGCGGAGGTAGCAGTGAGCCCAGATTGTGCCATTGCACTCCAGCCTGGCAACAGAACAAAACTCTATCTCAAAAAAAAAAAAAGTGCTACCTGCACGATGGAACAGTGTGTGTGTGTGTGGTGTGTGTGTGTCTGTGTGTGTGTGTGTATGTGCCTATGTGTGATATTCACATGTAACATATATGTTTACATAGAATATTGACGTATAATATTTACATAAACACATTTATAATTGTATTTGTGTACATATATACCTATGTGTGTATATGTACACTATATGTATATAGTGTGTATATATATATGTATGCTGCATGTATGTAGTGTATATATATGCATGCCAGTTGGGTATGACTTGCAGGCAAAGCGCATAATTGACATCATTCTAATTCTGCAATAGGTGTTATATCATTCTATACCATTCAAGGTAAGAAACTTGCATTAGCTATGAGATATCACATCCTAAGGGAACCAAGAGCTCTAAAATAATGTTTTCTGTATATTTTGAACATTTTTCATAAACCTATGCACACTGACAAAACGCTTATTTGAAAGAAAAGACACTCTGTTCTCATTGCTATCAGATAGGAAATGGTGGCACAGCATACAGAACCATTTATTTTTTAAAATAAACTCTATCCCACTACAGTTGAAGTTACACAGAGCCCTGAGAGGATGTCAAGATATGTTGGCTATATTTCACAAAAGTATTAGAGTCGTGGTTGCAGTTTGTAAACAGTAATGAATGTGCCTGTTAAATGTGTTTAAGAATGAACAATTCAAGGCTTTTCATTCACAGTGGAAGTGGGGGAAAAACCACAGAGCTTTTGATTGCTGCTGTCTTGACCATCATTCAGAGGTAAGAAGAAATCTTATGGTGTGTTCTAGTGCCACGGCCTGAGTCCATGTACATCAGCAATCCTATATCCGCTTGTTCTCTGGATATTGCGGACTTTATTTGATGTTGGAGTTCAGCAGGTCACAACAAACTGGGTTAATCTAGATGGTGCCAATGTAGATAATGACACAAAAAAAGTGTTTCAAGAAGGTTTTATTAAGTCATTTTAAAGATTCAAGGAGGAATTTTATTTATTTATTTATTCATGAATGCATACATGCATTTATTCATTTTTTT